ACCACATAGAAACCCCTGTGCTATTCTCTGGAAGTGTTTGTGTTTGAACAAGAGCATAGGCAGCTGTAGAATTGTTTAACGAACAGACTTGTTAGATTGGTTTCATTTAGTTCTGGATAGTTTGGGTTGTAGGACTGGACTTGAACAAAACCTGCTTTTGTGCCGAGAAATGTGGATGTGAATAACCTCTTTCTGGACAAATATCACCCTTGGTTTTTTGCTGTAGGACATCTTCAGAAATAATCATGCTCCATAAGTGGCTTCTGGAAGGTTGAGAGCACTGATGAGTGGATCTCTTTCATTTGCCTACTGTGCTCTTACCTTTCCTCAGTTCAGCAGAGGAGTTTTCCATTCAGGTCATTGAAATGCTCAGCTAAAACTGGTGGGAGGTTGTTATATTATAACTAACTACTCAGCTTATGGAGTGAAAGTATCTTCCCTTTGAACAAACTGGTTCTGGATCTGGGAAATACAATTAGCTTTTACATCCCAGTCAAGAGCCATGATGCTCATGAAGAATGGAGAAGTGCTGAATAATGAAGTGTCTCTTTTGTTAGTGAACACAAGCACCAGGAGGTGCAGTACCCACATGATACGTGTGTTGAAAGTGACTGGGCTGATACTGTCTTGGAACCATTGGTTTTGATGTCAAGTAGAAGGTCCTGTTTGTGCTAGCACCAGATTTGGTAGCCTGCAAGAACTTTCGATGTGGCTGCTGTTGTTTGGACAAAGGATGACTCCACTTTGTAATAAGGTATCACTTCACTAAGGGTAAAATTGGATCTTTAATGTGGGAGTGAAAGAAATCAGCACAGGCTTGAGACTTTACTGCAAGATGTTGTTCTGTTGGGTGTTGTGCCTTCAGGTTACCCACGCACTTGTCTACCTGGAATGTATTATTATCTTTTATTTGATAGATCAAATTGTCTTTTTAAAGGCAACTGCCTGAGGCTTTTGCAAATGCTGGGTTGCATGTAATTCCTGCAAATGAAAACATCAGTGCTTCCACCAAATAACAAAAGGAACTGAGGGAGCAGGAAAGAAACCTGTTCAGAACTATGTATAAAATCCATTCTTTGCTAATGTTGTTTAAAACTCTACCTTAAGACATAGAAATATATCATTGCTAATATTTATCTTCTTTCTTTCTTCCTTTCTAAAAGGAAAAACTAGAGCCCTTTTGCCACCTCTGGTCTCTACTGCTCTCCTGTTCATTCCTGTTCATTGTTTTGCTGCTCCCTGGTGTTTTGGCAGAACTTTCTAACTTTGCATTGCCATCACATTTCATAAGTATGACTACATTTCCAGTATCATTTATGAAAGTATTAAGTAAAATTGGTGCAAAGGCCAATTGTTGAGCAAGCACAGTTGTAATCTTCTTTTCAGCCCAACAATTATTATCCCTTCAAATACAATTCATCGTCTTTCCTTAACCAATTGTTTACCCATCTTGGTTCTTGTACTGATTGTCCATCTTAATTAAAAAGTACCATATGGGAAATGATGTATTATAAAGAGCTAAAGAACATCAGAGGGCGAGCATGCTTTTCACTGATAAGATAAAAAAACCATACACACTTTGTTCATGAATTCAAGTAACTTTAAAACTGTGGTTATTGTCATTACATTGCTGGCAAAACAAGGTTGCTGCACACAGATTGTGCAATTGGCTTTGGCTGTGAAGGCCTGAAACCTGAATTGTAGAATCCCAGACTGGTTTGGGTTGAAAGGGACCTTAAAGCTCACCCAGTTCCAGCCCCCTGCCACAGGCAGGGACACCTTCCACTAGAGGAGGTTGCTCCAAGCCCCTGTGTCCAACCTGGCCTTGAACACTGCCAGGGATGGGGCAGCCACAGCTTCTCTGGGCACCCTGTGCCAGCGCCTCAGCACCCTCACAGGGAAGAACTTTGCCTTATATCTAACCTAGATCTTCCCTCTGTTATCTTAAGGCTGTTCCCTTTGTCCTGTCACTACATGTCGCAGCAGTTAAGTTGGAAGTCATAACAGAATTTTAGACCCATTTTCCATCCACTGTTCTGTTTCTTCCTTTAGGATGCATGTAATAATATTTCAGTAATACTACGTGTATTCAAGCATTTTCCACACATTTACAGTGTATTCTTTATTGTGCTCTTGCTTTTTCCTCCAAAACACTGTTTTAAACTAACTTTTTCTGTTTTCCAGTCATATCAACAAGCTCTATTTATATTTCTTGTACTCCCTCCCCTCTTCCTATTCCAATCCCAGGCAAATAGCAAGTTCATACTGACAGTGACACTGGTACTGAAGCAGTGCCAGGTGGGCCTATAAATTAGAACAGGAGCTGTCTGAGTGTGAACCTGCTCTTTGTCGATAGCTGTTGTGATTGTGAAAGCCAAAACCAACTGCAGAATTCCCGACATCCTTTGTGCCTAAAGCTATTTCTGCTCATCCTGTGTTTTAAGCAGCGGGGTGCTGGGCACAGGAGGCAGAAACACTGTTGTGTGTTTGCATGATGATCTGGAATGAAATTTCCTTTTTGATGTGAAACTTGTAAGGATGCTTGTAAGAATTGTTTCATGTTTAGCCTGGAGAAGGGGGAGATCCTGGGAAAACAGTCAACATCTGTTAAGTAATCCAGCTCATCCCTTGTGCTACTGCGACGTCATCTCTGATTTTGTGGTTGCCAGGCTACTCCAGCTGGAATTGCATAGCAAAGCCTCCTCTCTTTAAAGGGGGATGCACGTAGAACGCAGTGACATAGGTTGTGCTATATGTGCACTTGCTTTAACGCTTCCAAGTGTCATTTCTCCCTCCTCTTTTTAGCACAGAATCCTTGCAAATCAAATCCTTCTTTTTTTAGGGGCTCGTAGTTCTTATGCATTTAAAAACAACAAAATCAACATGGCAACTTGTTAATTCAGAGCTGGATCCTAGTGCTATATATCATTTATGTTTTGATCAGGGAAGAAACAGTTTGTGGAGGAGATGAAAAGGGAGATGACTGCAGGGCTTCTGAGTGTTGGCAGGAGGGTGCTTCAGAGCCGGTTTTGATGTAGTTCTAGAAGACAGGGGTCCTGCTCATGAAAAACAAACTCCTGCTTGGTCCTTAATATTTCCTCCTTTGAGTGTGTATAAAAATAAACTATGCAGTGTATGAGAATAAATGAAGTTGCATTTCATAAGCATTGATTTAAGCTTTTAAGAGTATTAGTAAGGGGAATTTACAACCTTCTCCCCCATTCTTTGGCCACTTTTCCTTCTATATTGCAATATAGATATTAGATAATTGAGAAATGGAATTCATATAATTATAACAGATGAGGTATTTTTATTATCCCTCTTTTTTTATCTTGTATGCAGGTGTATAGGCAGAAATTGCTTGGGGCACAAAGCTGCAGTCTGCTTCTTGATATGCTTTGAGTACAAGATGGAGAATTTTTACATGCTGATGCTCCATCTAAATTTGAACTTTCCAAACCCCAGGAAGAGAATCCTATAGAACCGATCAGTTACCTGCATAGGACAGGCAGTCAGTGTTGCTATTGTCATTTCCCACTTTGTTGTCTTTTTTTCTATTAAAGTTTCTATTAAACGTCCTTTAATAGAAGCTTTGAAGAAAAACTTGTTAAGCAGAATTATCCCAGGCAGACCAAAATAGTGAATGAAGGTCAAAATGTTCATTGTGAGTCATCTGTTGCATTTAAACATTTGAATGGAGATGATTTTTAGCAGTTATATAGACAGTGACTGGAGGATTCATCATGTTTTCCAATCAGACAGATAAATGCTGTTGGAGGATCTGCAGATGAAAGAAGGCATTTACTTTTATCTGACTTTCTTGGGGTAACATTTTTACAAGAAATTAAGATTATTGCCCTCAGACCTTCAAGGTTGTTTTCCAGCTCTTGTCTAGACTGGAGATATTGATTGCTTTGACACTAGTGTATGATACTTTTTTATTTCCATATTGTCCTGAAGACATTTCTCTTGTTCTTCTGTTAAGCCATGCTCTATAGTTAGGAAGTGCAGGGAATGGATTTTTTTAATGAAGATCTCAAGATATCTTTGAAGAATGAGAGCTTAGCATGGAGTGTGCTTTACAAGCCTTCATCAGACACATTTCTGAAGCCACTCAGGTCTTTGTACTATAAAATGCCCACTCAAAAGATGACACAAGTTTGGGGAAGGTTATAGGAAGGTAATGAACATCTTTCTGTGCTTTAGGTATATGGGTTTTGATGGCTGAGAGTTGAGAGCCTCAATTGGAAAAAAAAAATCCAATAACTGAGAGAGTCCACACACAGCATTCTTCTGGAAAAGATTTCTTCAGGCTAAGGATAAAAGCATTACTTACCAAAGCTGTATCTGTTCCACGGGCAGATGGAAGCCATCGGTTTGAAAGAAGAGGCCGCACTTCGTTAGAGAATGGAACATTTTCAAGACATGTTGGTTTATAAAGGGTGTTGGGGGGAGAGGAAGCAAACACCTTCCAGCTGGCCTGTTAAACAGTTTCTGTACTTAAAAGCAGAGAGTAATGAATATCTAGATATAAAGACATAAAGTATATCTAAATATCACTTAAAAAGGGCATTGTGGTGCATAGGGCAGTGTAAGTTTTACTGAAGGTCAGTAAGTCTCCTGGGCTATGCCAGAGTCTACAGGAGCAGAAAGTAATTATCTCTGCATGCCCATGGTGACAATCCCGTATTTGTTTGGGGTTTTTTAAGTCTTGCTGCTTAGAAATAATGTGACAGCAAGGAATTCTTAGTTTTCTTTAAAAACAAACTGATTTCTGTAGGCTTGCAAAGGAACATTTTAAATCTGCTGTTGAAATGTTTAGACCACATTGGGTTCCAGTCCTAGAAAAATAAGAAAACACAACTTTCTCTCTGTGCTCTTTTTCCTTTCCTATTGTTTTTATGAATGTGTAGAATGACAATTTGGGTATTGCATCTATCTGCTGTGCTTCAAAGGAAGTAATTATGGCACACGTTTTCCTGTATCCATTGTTATTACAGGTGCTGAGGATGTTGTGATGGCGTTTTCCAGATCAGAGACAGAAGACAGAAGACAGTAACCACAGGATACCTGAACAACACAGAACTGGAGAGGGCAGTGAGATTCCTGAAGATAGAGGAGGATGGCTGAGCATTAATAAGTTCCTTTGCCCACCCTAATTGTTCCTTGGTATTCCTTCTCCTTTGTAATTCTGTTTCCCTTTGCCCAACCCTCAGAATGCATCTCACAGCCATCTATTCCTGTAAGTTTCTGCTACTCAGCTGGGCTGCGTTAATTAAGGACAAACCTAAAGGTGTATTTTTGATTGGCTCAGAGGGACAGGCTGTGGTTACCTAAAGGAAGATGGTTTTTCAAACTTGACCAATGAAAACCTTTTATCTCACGTTTTATTTTATATTTTAAAGGAAGTCTCTTGACATCCTACTTCTAAAGAAGCTTTTCATGCTGAGGTGCTTATTTAGGTCAAACTTGTGAATTTGAAGAGGGTTTGATTTGGCTGCGTAGAACTGGAAGCAACTTGTGGTTGGTTGACAATGCAAATGTTTTCTCTTCGGTTGGCTTGCAGGTATTTTGCTGACTTCAGCATTTTCATTGCCGAAAGCTGATGTTTTGGTGCATTGGTTATTTCTTTATACTTACTGACGGGGGGGAAAAAAGACAAATGTGCTTTGCAATATTTATTACATCTACACACATATAAATGCTTGCTTTTGGGGGTTTGTTTTGGTTTTACTTTGAGGGGCTTTGAAATCATGGTTTTGATTTCCTGTTGGCTGCAGTGTTTCCGATGCAATCAGTTTTTCCATACTCGTCTGCTCTGTGGCCTCGAGCTCTTTTGGGAGCATGTGTCGAAAGCATATTTAGTTCAATAAGTCTACCTGTTGAAGCTGGAACATGGAGATCACCAGCCATTGCGTGCTGCTGTGCGGGCTGTGCCATGAACTCCTGGTAGACCTGGCTTCAGGTGGCTTCTCTCTTTGCTTCTGACAGAGGAGCTGTAGATATTTTGCAGGAATTGCAAGAATGAGATCTATGGCTGTGACATGAATTTGCCAAATTTGTATAGAGAATATGTGAACTTGTTTAAAAATACTACATATGGTTCCACTTTAACCCTTTAATTGCTGCACAAGAGTAGCTCTCGCATAAAGGAAAATTAATGATCGTTAACTTAAATCCAACTTGCACTGGGCTTTAATAAACTAAGTTTCTAGTCACTTGAAAAACTGTATGTGGTTTGGCTCCTTACAAGTGTTCAGTGATACGGAAATTATCTGGATCTGAAGGTAATACCATTTTCTTTAGGCACCATTCCAAGAGGCAGTAGCACTGCATTAAGCTGTCCAGTACTGAGTGTGCAGGTGGCAGACACTCTTGCAGGGCCTTAAAACAGACACACGTGCACATCTACAAACTGAAAACCCTGCAGTGAAATTCCCAAAGTGCACTGACTGTTCAGGAGCCTGCACATGAAATCTCCAGCACTGCTGCCTAAAGCCTAGCACTTCATTTGCTCTCCTGTGTGCAGGTCGTTTTTACAATACTTCTGTATGTTCCTGTGAGTTGCACTGACTTTTAAGATGTTTCAAAACCTATTAAAGCAGAACTCCTTGTTCCTTTTGTATGGTTGTTAATTATTGGAAGTGCCAATTCCAGAATCTGACTGCGACAATGTGACTATTTTCATGGGAAGAAATTAATGACAACAGGATGCTGTTACGGTCTCAAACTGGGGAGAAAACTTGAGAGAAACCATGGAATATATGCAGAAGGAAGAATGGGCTTGTGAGCACAAGGAGGGAAATGATCTTGGGCAAATAAATACTCTGTGATGAGAACAACTGTACATTGCTTATGGAAAAGATCCTTGTGATTCAGTTGCAGCTTTGTAAAGTTCAGTGTGAAAGTCAATCTTTTACCCCTCTTTGTTGGGGCCAGATAAGAAATTTCTTCATTAAACCAGGAATGAGCCCAAAAGATTCTTTAGATTTTGACCTGGTTGCCTGAAAGGCACTTTAATTTTAACTTTGGTGCAAAGGAGGGCAGCCCTTAAAGGGTTAATTTAGGGGGATATGTGTGTTTCTGGCTGCTGGCTGAATGTATGGGCTGGATTGTGGTGGCCTGTCGTTGTCAAGCTAACATGCATCCTCCATGTGTATCTATGGCATTTCTGGGCTGTTAAATCTTTTCAAGGAGAAAAGTGAAGTGTTTATGTGGTTTAATCTTTTCACTAAAAAATGTAACTGTTGGGGGGAATAATACAGTTTTTAATAGCTTCTCTTGTTTCTTACTGATTTATTATACTGTTAAACTGCCAAATGGAAAATACTTGTTTTGCCTTTGTGGAAGACATAGACTCCAAACTTGGAGTTTTGAGCAGTATGTTGAGAAGGATATATTGAGGAAGGGTGTTGTATAATAGCATGATATGGGACTCAGAAGCTGGAGGAGATGTAGTCTTTGAGAGTATCTGTGCTTGTGTTGGTACCTGTGCTTGTGCTCTCCCCTCCTCGCTGGTGGTTTCTTAACTTGAAATCAGGGCTGGAGGATACATAATAAAGAATTCATACGTGTATCAGGGAGACAGTAGTGGAAAAGAGGCTTTCCAATATTCCCCTTGAATTACATTGCGAAGTATTTATCTTCTTGCTGTGAAAACTAAACCCCTATGACAAATATGGAGCCCGGATTAGTTGGGAGGTAGAGAAACCTGCACACAGTCCATCAGCACAGTGGGTTTGTTTGCTGTACATAGCAATTTCTCTAGCTTTACCTTTGTGCTTATGCCTTTTCAAGCAAACCATGACTAAGAAGAATAAGAAATCCAATGTTTTAAAGGTCAGAGGTGAGTATAGAAATATTGAAACTGAAATACATTTGTAAATAGAAAAGGCTGTGTAGTTAAACTACCAACCAAATAGTGCTTCAGGCATTCAGTAAGGAAGTGTAAAAGCTTTAGATGTGTCTTCCAAAACCAGGACACATCCTTTGGGTGGTCTTTTTGAGAGTTATGTTCCTTTAGATATTCAAAATGGGCTGTTGTGCTTCTCTCACCAAGCTTATCATCTAACACACAGTGTTTGCCAGAGCTTGAGGAAAAGATTTAGAGCTGAGTCAAATACTCCTCTCATCTCTCTCACAATGAGTAGCAATTGCTGTAGTTATTGGTGAGTCATTGTGTCTGTGCGCATCGCCTCTGGTAAATGAAAAGAGACTCCACCATTCACATAGACCTTTAGATTGATTCTCCCGGGTTCTAAAATAAACCCTGGAGTTACAGAGGGACACTTTGGAAGGAGCTGTGCCTGAAAGAAGCTGGACCTCTAATAAAATCAAATTGACTCTTCTGGTTTTTTTGTTCCTTTTCCTATCTAAGGTAAGTAGTTACTGTAAGCTGTCTCCTCTTGGCTGGTCAGTGGCCTCTGTGAAAGTTTCTAATGCTTTACCATTAAATTTGTTTCAGTTCCATAATTCACCAGCAGCCTAAATAGTTCTGGTGAAGGCTAAAGATTAAGCGGCCGATGAAATTCAAAGACCCCGTCACCTATAGAAGAGATCATCCTAAATAAGACTTCAGGGTTGTATATGATACACATTTCTATAGCTACTCAGAATCTGTTACAAGAAGTCTGAAGTTATCAGTGATTTATAATGCAAGAGGGGGAAAAAAGGCCAAAAGTTGAAAGGTTTGAATCGATATGTGTAATGTCTGATGGAAGTTATTTTGTGAAAGATACACTGAATGCCTGGGCAGTGAGGGGAATGTATGATTTGGATTACTTAAAGATCAGTCCTTCAGCTTTCTTCTTGGTCTCTTGCCTCCTAAAGGACTGTGTGGCAGAGCTGACAGCAAAAAAGGCTGCAGGGCACTGGGACCAGCAGAAACCAGCAGTGCAGTAAGAACCATTTCTGGAGGTTTGAGAAATCTTCAGCTGTATTCAGTCTCAACAAAAGAAAGAGCCCATAGTGAGTAAGCATCTCTTCCCCACTGTTACTCATCAGTATCAGAGTGTTCCAAAGCTTAATTGCTAATAAAGAGCTTTTAAGAAGCTTTGTTAAAGCTGCAGAATAGTTGGCTTAGGTCTAAGAGTAATAGGAGCACTAAGAGTGTTGCACAGTTGCTGCCTGGTGGGATATTTGCTTGGCACAGTCAGTTTTTAACTCAACTGACAGCAGTCTTGTACACATCTAGCCTCAGCATCAGCCTGTTCAACACTGGAATGAAACAGGACCTCTTGGTTACTCAGTGCTGCAGCCAGAGGTGTGTGTTGTATGCAGGGCAGATCCTTCCCTGTTCACAGCATCAACAGGAAATACAATTGATTGTTTAATTTCTTTTAGGTGGAATGTTTCCATTTGTTTTATTTCACCTTCTGGCACAGAGTAGCATTAAGAATCCTGTCAGTTGGGCCTGGATGAGTTATTTCACTAAACTTAGGCAATATGAATGGTCTTGCACAAAACTAGCTTTTAAAGGTGTTAAAGTCTGTCAGATTTTACCATGATCAGTTTTCCATAGTGCATCCTGCAGGTTTTGTATCTGTGACTTCTTCAGAGCTGCAGTAAATAGGTCACTGGATTACTGTGGTGCTTCCAGATCTGCCTTAGACCTGCTGAGCAAATACAGTAGGTCTGTACAGCTTCCCTTAAACCTCCTTGTTGCTGATACTTTTCACAGTTTGACAAATCTAGAAGTGCTGTGTAACAGGGAGGGGCATTGTTGTTACTTACCAAGGCAAGAGAGGAGCTTGGATCCATTCCCTTTCAGACTTTAGTAGGTTCCCATACAAAGACAAAACAGACATCACCTACTGTCTTCTGTGCTCTGCTTTCATTTTCTTTGCAGCTGGTTTGCCCTAAGCAGAATTCCTGCAGTTTGTTATCAACAACCTGGCTAGTTTCCTTTGTAGCCTGAAGCACTTCAATCTGGGGGATTGTTTATTCTGGAAAAGAGGGAAAAAAGAAATTTGAAGCTTTATAACCTGGCCTGCTTACAAGCTGCCTCATGTATCAGCATGAAGTAGGTACATGCACAGAGCTTTTTGCTGTCTTGATGCGTTCCAGGTTAACTCTCCTTGCTACTAAATGTTGATCTGTGACCAGAGGCCTGTGAAACTCTGAAAATAGACTTTAAGCCTTTGTTTAACAATTACAGTATTAACTCCAACCCAGGTGTGGACTGAGGCATCTATAGTTTTCTTTAGTTTTTCACCTGAGATGATTATTGCTGCCCTTTTCAGATGCAGTTTTAATGCAGCAATCCCTGCAGGGTCAGAACATGATCTTGTCTGTACCTGTGACAGGAGCAGCTGGAGGCATGTAATTCAATGCATGGCAAGCAGCTTTCTCCCTGTGTTGTGCATGTCATGGCTACACATGAGCTCTTCGGACCCCCCCAAAGTAAAAGGCCCTTTACTTATTGTGAGTAACACAGCTGGTTAATAACTCATTTTTTACTTAAAGTAACCTTTAAGTTGGTTGAGTTGAATCCTAAGGTTACATCTGCATTCTGAGCTGAGTCTCTGATACTATTAAGGACCCATTTAGCTGCATTTATGTCTGAATAGGTATTCAGTAGTGTTCTTGACTTAACTTTGGGGTTTAGCCCCAAGCAAAGAGTTAACTCCTTGCATTTTACTTGCACTCCACACCACTTTTGTGTAGCTAATTTCAAATTTGTAAGACAGGAATCA